TTGACTTGTTAGCCTTATTGGGAAGAGGAGCGCTGAGAATGGCTTTACATTTGTCTTTGCATCCTAAACTCGAGGGAGTTTCTTCAAGATGAGTCTTAGTGGAAGAGTAATGAGAGGAAGAGGTGTCAGGAATGGAAGAGACAAAAGTACCAAACTTAAGCATGGACTTGTCAATGACACTTTCTTCCTAATCATAGGAAAATCTTAAACCATTATTTATCTTGGTAGGGATTTAAGCGTTGATAATCTCAAAGGCCTTGATGGAGGCTTTGCACCACCCTTCAATGGTAGCCTTCTTTGCCTTGAGTTCAACAATAGCTTGCTCACGCTCAATGATAGCCTGCTCGCGTTCGATGCTTATGATTTGGTTTACAATGACCCGATCCTTAAGATTTTCCTCAATCTTATTAGGTCCTTGATCTTTGAATGCCAATGGCTATTATAGACCCCACACGAGTGTCTAAATAATCTTCTTTTTGTCTCCATCACTCCATTGATGGGGGAGCTATGAAATCTACTGTTAAAGAATTGCGACAATCGTAACAGTTGTAAGAACTGTTGGAGAGATTGTAAATGAAACATAAGGTCCATTCTCAATGTAGTATGGGATATGAGGATCCACACCTTCCAATAATAGAGACATCTGGTTCTTCTAGAGACTTAAGTTGTCTCTGATGAAACGAGGAGGTTTGACAAGAGAGTCATTATCATGAAAGTTGGTGTTAGTGTTTTGCGAAGCCATTTTGACAGGAATAAATTATATAAAGAAGGAAAAATAATAAAATACCAATAAAACAACAATACAACACAAAAAACAAACACTGCTCTGATATCACTTGTTGGTCCCAGCCAGATCTACAATAGTTTATAAGTAATCATTTTGTAGAAGAGTGGGTGAATACAAACATAAAAACTTTCACTTTTAAAAATTATATATTGATAAAGAAGATCAATACAAATTTTACAGATTGTTAGATAAGGTAAAACATTTATCTGAACAATCTAAGATACACACAATTACAAAAAGCAAAGAGAAAAGATTTGCTACAAGTAATAAAGAAAGAATAAAAGTGCTCTTCACTTGTTAAAGTGGCTCTTTCTCTTAGAGAGAGAGTAGTGGGAGAAGTAACTTATTGAGTAAGTTCTTAGTGAGGAAGATTAATAACTGAGAGGGGAACCACTCAGCTATTTATACCCATTGCATTAAATGCAATTTAGAAGGTGCAAAACACATGTCAAACTTTTGGAGGAAAGCTTGTCATTTGTTCAGATTTGGCAAGATTTTGGCCATATGTGAACAATCCTCTTTCATAAAGTGGGTAAGCACATTAGAGTCAACGGAGTGGCACCGTATTGTACTATACTTTAGAAGGTATGGATTTGTCCTTTGTATGAGGAAGGAAAAGACAAAAACAATCGTGCTTTACAAGTTTCATTTGATCATTGAATACTGGGATGATGCTGAAAGGTCTCTTTAGTGTTCACTGAAACTTGCGCATACTTCACACATATGTAGACGAGCTTGTAATCACTAAATACCGCTTCAAATCACGAACTTGTTGGTCTCTAATCTTCAGCTTTTGTCTTCGACATTGCTGAAGAATCTGTGGTGTGAGTTTTGTTTTCTTGAAGTATAACAGTCTCTGAACAAATTACAATACACGTTCAACGATCACTGAACAGACTCAGTGAAGATCATTGAAACTGAATAACAGAAATACTATACTTCGATAGATAAAAGGGATTATCATCAAATCAATGAAATAAATGATTAACATTTAAAACCATAAAATATATAAGATTTAAAACCATTTTATTGGTGGCCATGATTGAAGAAAGACATTGTAAGATATGTAGAACGGTGTTTGACGTGTCTACAAGTAAAGATCGATCATCAAAGACCGTATAAGAATTTACAGTCTTTGGAAGTTCTTGTATGTAAATAGGATCATATCATGATGGATTTTGTCATGAAGTTACCGCAAACTCCAAAAGGGTATGATGTCATATGGGTGGTATCTTCAGTTATGACGGTAGACATAAGTTAACAAAGATATACAAAATTTTGTGAAATGTAGGTAGATGTTCTCGCGTAGTTAACAAAAAAAATCTTTTCATGGCAAACCAAACATATATATACATATATATACATATATATATATACATATATATACATATATATATACATATATATATATATGTGTGTGTGTGTGTATGTGTGTGTGCGCGCCTAATCAAATGAAAACTATGTAGTTTGTAATAACTGCGAGATCCAATATGAACCATTCTAAAGATATTTCTTAAATAAGTTAAAAGGGTAATTTAGTAATTTTATTTATGACAACTCATCAAAAGATATAATTAATTTTTCTAAAGGGAATATTTGATTAATTTTAATTACCTAATATATATTATCTTTTAAAGATGTTTGTGAATCAAAGTATACCATAATGATAATATTCACAATGTATCACAACGTGTTTTCATTGTTTTACAAAGTGTATCACATATGCATTTTCGTTATTTTCGTTGCTTTAGAAAGAGAATCACAATGTGTATTTTTGCTATTTTAGTTGTTTTACAAAGGTAAACAGTGTGCATCCTGTATGTATATATGGGTATAATAGTGAATATCGTTTCTATATATTTGATTAGGTATCACAATGTGTATATTGTGTTTATATAAGGTTCGTTGGAATAAGATTGCCGAAATAAAGTTTATTGGAGAGAGGAAAATTTTAAAATCTCAAAAATGCACTTAATCAATACTTTAAGTTAAAATTACCATAACTTTTAATTTCTGAATTTAATATTTGATTTGTGGTTGAGATCGCATCTCACGGTTATCAGTTCTTCCTTGAGTAGTCACTATATATATATATATATACACACACACACACACGGGAGAGGAATATTTGCAAACCAATTGTATAAACAGTGAAAACCGTCGATTTCATTGTTTATTTTAGTGAAAATTTCATGAAATTGTTTAACATAATGAAATTGTTGCAAATGATTCATTTCAAATAATTATAGACATTATTATCTTCATTCTATTAATTTTAGTAAACGAATTTCATCAGAATAAGAAATACATAAAACAATTTATTTTTACATAAAAACAAATATACATGAAACATTTTCATCAAGAAATGAATTATTTGAAACAATTTTATTATATTAAACAATTTCATATTTTTTTTACTAAAATAAACAATCAAACCAACGGTTTTCTAGGTTGGTATGAATAGCTTACAGCTTGATTTGCATTTTATTCATCCCATATATATACATATATAAATATAACATACATAGTTGCCATTCATTTACAAACCCTATATATATTTACAACTCATCCAAGTCTATCTTAGACGAAGGATAATGTCAGAAGGAGAGTTAAGGTGAAAAGCGTGATAAAAGATCTGGATCCTTGATTATCTTTAATCTCAAGCCCACCCATGAATTGCTTGATACGAGAATTAATCTGGTGTATCTCATCTTAATGTGCATCCAATTATTCTAATGTGCATCCAATCATCCTAATGTGTATTAGAAATGATCAAGACCCTTGATCCTCTTTAATCTCAAACTCACCCGTGAATTGCTTGATACGAGGATTGATCTGGTGGATCTCATCCTAATGTGCATCCAATCATCCTAATATGCATCAGAGAGGATCTGAACACTTGATTCTCTTTACTCTCAAACTGACCAATGAATTGCTTGATATAAGGATTGATCTAGTGCATTTCATTCTAATGTGCATCCTATCATCCCTATGTGCATCCAAAAGTGGAGATCCTTCTTACACTTATGGCCTTTAACTCTTCTTTTCATCAAAATCCAACCATATATATATATATATATGAAAAAATAAGGTTGTAGGATTTATATGAAGATGGAAGGTGTTTACACTTTATTAGTGTTTTTGAAGATATTGAAAATACACCTTTTCTTGAGGGGTGGTGGTGAGACGGTGCCGGTTCCATAAGGTGGACGAGGAGCTTCTTGATAATTCCACACTCTGAATTAACTACACCTTAATTTGTTAAGCATTGTTGGAAGCAGGCAATAGGCATATATATATATATATATATATGAATACGGGAAGATGAGCTGGATGGGTGGTAGACACGTGGCAAGCTACAATGCTACATGCCCATTCAGCATCTTCTTGCACTTATTCATTTTGCGTTTTTTATTCTTTGTTTACCCAAATGCTTAACAATACTCACTTGTAAGAGTCAACATTATAATACGTAAGATTTTAATATATCAAAACGTATTAAATTTAATAATTTACCGGGTAAACATTTATCTGGATAAAAGTTGTAATCTTCACTTACCAGATAAGACTTTTCATCCTTCTCATCGCCCTTACCCAATAAGATTCTTCATCCGATAAGTAAATTTATCCGATTAATAAACGACTCCTTAGTGTCTAAAACCTTGGTACTGATAATTTGGTTTTGGATCATGCTTCTCATTTTATTTGTCAAAATTTATGATATTTTTAACACAATTTCTATTTGCTAATATTAATAATAATTTTTATTTTTTAAACAATATTTTAAATATTGATGGATAACAAAATAATTTCATTTAATCTATATTTATTTCTGTAAAGATGTTGTACGTTTTTAATTTCATGTTTCGGGGTATTCTCTTCGTGACCGTTTTCCGTCTCCGCTATCCTTTTTGTTCTTTGGTTGAATTCGAGTTGCTAATGCTAAGCAATGTTTAAGGGTTCGTAAAATGTTTCGGAATTCGATCGAGTTGAAATTGAATCTCAAGAAATTTAACCACCTTTTTTTTCTTCCTAAATTCAAGAAAACATCGTAACTGAACCAAATGACGGAATGAAATTTGGTCAGAAGATATTACCTTTCCATTCCAGCAAACCAAGCGTCTCCTTATTGTTTGTCGATGCCAAACATTGAACAAAGATCGTTCCAACAAAAAATTCAAATATTGAAAACCAACTTAGTGCACCCATCTTCTCAAACAATCTCGATCATGCACTAGATTACACTGTAATCAAAGTTCATGGTACGAGCTAAGATGATCGATCTATAACAATGAACCGAAACAAATCTTAAAGTTGATCAGATGTTATACACAGCCAACATGGCAACAATTTCCAGAAAAACTAGAAAGCATTTTCTATTTCGACAACAAACTTAAAAAAGAAGTAACGGTGAAGTTATACCTGTATCTGCTGACAACACTTCATCGGCACGGTTTAATCAACCCTCAGATACAATTTACAACGTGTACACGTTGGATGCTTCTTTCCAACTTCATTGCCCAGGTTCAAGTTATACAGGCACCCTTTTCCCACGGTATCGATCAAAGAACTGTGAAGAAAATGCAAGTAATTTTAGTTTGAAGGGTATTTCGATGAAAGATTGCATACCAATTATAATGAGTTATAAACATGATAATCAAGCACTACTTCACCACGCAGTTGTCAAAATTGAGATATATATTAAAACACACGGACCCAGTATGTCCCCATGAAGGTCGGGTCGGGGTGGGATGTATGATGAACACCACCACAAAAAGTAGAGCGGTTGTTTATGTGAAAACCCTTGGCTTGTGAAACGTGTGTGAAAGAGAGAAGCATATATGACAAATTGTAGTAAGAAATAACATACAAATAGAAGCAGGTACGAGAAAAGCATAAGAAAGGTAAGAAATTGAATCATATATGACCGTGAATATCCATGAAATATTAATGTTTTGACTTTCAAAAAGTCAATTGGCTCCTGCTTTCGGTTGTCCAAAAGTTTACAATTTATGACCAGTTGAGATTATATTGGATGAAGGAACCCGGTGTATGCTAATCTCAGATCTAAATCAAAATCTTCAATATTACTAGAGTTCACTCCATGTTATATATCTAGGGGTACGAATGGGACTGGGGTTACGCAATGGTTTATTGTGCAGCTCCTCAGTCGATAACAAATGGGGTTCTGTTAGGGTTTAGTATATTACATATTTGGATTCGTTGGGTTCGTTGTAGCTCGGGGTTGTAACAACCTATTTAATAAAAAAAATCAATCTAAACAGAACGATGTTTCATAAACTCGCAATGAAATAGGATTTAGGAGGAGAATGAAGTTGGTAAGACAATTTAAAAGTATAAAATATCTATCATATGATTCTAGAGAGCAAGATACTTAAAAAATGTGTGCTTTTTGGACCGAGAAATAACAATTTTTAAGAAGAGAAATGCGCGATTTTAGAGAGAATAACATGCATCTCGAGTTACATACAGGCTCTTTAGAGAGCGAAATTTTACATGTAGATGTAGAAAGATATTGTAGGTTAATTTAGAGATATAAGAAGTGCATTATAATTACAGAGCAGAAAGTGAGTTCTCTAAAATGTTGATGATAAATAAAAATATTCACATATAAATCCGGGAAAAAAATTACTTGCATGGATAATAATTATATAAGTAACTCTATAGACAATTCATATGTGAATTTACTATATTTTAAATGTAAAAGTAGAAGTGTATAAAGCTTTTTAGAAGAATAAAGAGAGAGTTTGTGTGACTTCTTTACATTTTAGGGCAAATAATCAGTTCCAAAAACCATGGTCTTTCTGAGAGAGAAAATAAGCAGTTCTAACCAATCTCAATTATTACTTGGTTGGAGAATATGGATTGACAGATACTTAGGGGCCGTTTACCTAAATGCTTACCCGGTAAGCGCTTACCATTAGGCGTCAACACTGTAATTACTCTACCGGATAAGATTGTAGTACATCAAACTAGTATCGTATGCAACAATTTACCCAGTAAGCGCTTACCCGGGTAAGAGTCGTCACCCTCACTTACCGAGTAAGACTCTTCATCTTTATCATTGCTCTTACTGGGTAAGATTTTTGACTATTATCATGTTCATCCGGTAAAGATAATTACCTCGTAAGCACTTACCGGGTAAGCGTTTAGTAAACGGCCCCTTAGTCACAGACCTAGTTAGATCGGGTCACCATTTTTTGCATGTTTGTAGTGAGTCTAGATAATATTTGGAGTCAATCAAGGTACCAAGGATTATCAAGTAACACATGAAAAAATTAATCGTCTCATTTATGTAGTTCCATCTTTGTGAAACCAAGGTTATTGTTAGAACCAACAAAAAAAGTTTCATGTTCTAATCCAATTTATACGCTGAAGATAAGAAGGGAAAGCCATATGTGGTCACAGTGCAATATTTAAATTTCAATTTAGAGATCAACAAGTGAAACCTCTCTACCAAATTGACCTAAACAAATTGCAGTAAATATTTGTTCAACGCCTATAATCCTACTGTGTTGTTTTAACAAAAGATCAAAAACGCATTTCTCCCTTTCTCCAAAACGTTTAGGCTTAACTAGAACTCCATTGCTAGTGTTGGGACGAAAAAGAATATACCAACAAAAAGATCTCATATGAGCGGCGTGGAATGAGACACACCAATTATGCAACACAGAATTTATGCTACATGTCTTGGTCAATGGATTCGGAATGTATTCATTATCTTTCTCTTTACAGACTCTGAAAGAACATATAGGGCAAGTAATTTTAATTGATGTATCATATTCATGGATGATAATATAAATTGAATCGGTCAGCCTGTTTTGAGTTTTCAATTTCGACCTATGACTGGAAAGAACCAGAAAGAGAAGGTCCTCAGATGCTACGTGATTCTTAGCTGTCTCCAACCAACTAAAGAGTTTTTACACAAACAACGGACAAAGACGTTCACCAAAAAACACAAATAGAGCACATCTTTGGGTACTAAAAGATATATACAAAAACCAGCCAATGTGACTCTATCATACTGTTTGAATCATTTTAAGAATGTTTTAGAAATTGGACTGTTCATTGAGCCAGAAAATGGAGAAACAAAGGGAAAACTATTCCAATATAAGAAATATAAGAATCATTTAAACAATAATAAAGGAAACACAAAGAAGCATAGACCAACGTTTAATCTAAACCAAACCTAGTAAATCCCACCCGTAAGTAGGGCCTAGGGGGTATACCATACATCCACCTCAAGAGGTAGAGGCATTGTTTCCGAGAAGACCCCCGGCTTGCAAAAAGGATTAGGAAGATTTGGCTAAAGAGTTCAGTTTAGAATAATCGTTTTTCAAAAGGCAGTTTTAGTATAATAAAAAACTGCAAGGAGAGAAAAAGGACAAGAAGAAAATCAAAGAAATGAGAAAACAAGTTGAACAGGACCAGAGAGTGGAGACAGCTAGCCAGCAAGTCCAAGCTAAAAAGCACAAGGGAGATACCAAAGATTCTCCCCCCTACCGTCCCATGGCACTACAAATTATCTGGACTCCTCTACACCCCCATCCTCTATTGTCTTATCCCCCCCCCCCCAAAAAATAAAAACTGCATAACCCAAAATTTTCTTACAAATAATCTATTACTACTACTACCTCCACCGTCTCCAAAAGCTCCTATATGAGGTCATGTCATCAAAAAGTACTAACGCTGCCATGTCCATCTCAACTGAGATGAACAACTAATCTATACGAGCTAAATGTTTTATCAAACAACAAAGTGAGCAAAGAAATAAATTTTACTTTGAAAAATGGGGTAGAGAAATTATTGTATAAGTTATGCACTTTATGATCGTAGAGAACCAATGACCACTCGTTGGGTCATCCAGTTAAATGGTTGAGCTATTGAAGTTGCTGATTCCTTGTGCGTTCTCTAAAATTGGGTTTTTGGGATTGACCCAAGTCTTTTGGAACAGGGCAGAGGGTCAAAGGGATTCAACCGGCCTAGTCAGTTCAGGTTTTTATACATTAAATTTTTAATTCTACAAGGAGAATGAGAGGTTACACAATGGTCTTATGGGAATGTTTGGAACTCCAATTCCAAGCTTCTAACCCAATGATCCCAATCAATCCCTTATTGTAACTTTCTAATTCAGTTTCCTCCTTGGTCAGACACAGTGGATAAAGCGGGATACATTTGAGACCATGCTAAGGAGGCATTAAAATATCAACAAGATCAATAATTACAAGGGCAGGAGCAAACATACCGATCTAATAAAAGGTTGTTGAAACACCCAACCAATAACAGGTATCTTCTGCACAAAAACTGCTAGCGTGGGCCAAAAGCCACTGCATAAATCACATTGTAAGTAACTAATATCAAGTCCCATGAGCAGCACAGAAGCATTCATCTCATTAGGTTTATTTCAAGCAAACCTGAAGAGTACAATGAAACCATAAGACTCTGAGGCCATTCCTATTATTGGCCACCCAATGATGACAAAGAAGAAGCCAACACCAAAAGAAATTGTGCCCTGTGCAAGCATCAAGCAAAAGCTTAAACAATTGGAAATGGAAAAGTGAAGGTAGAGAGAACAGAACTTGCAAGGAGGACTTGATTCCAATGGTCATTATCACAAAACACTCACATACATAAACAGAACTTGCAAGGAGGACTTGATTCCAATGGTCTTTTCTTAAACAAACACTCACATACATGAACAGAATTACAAAAGTGAAGGTAGAGAGAACAGAAGCACCGAAAACCTTTAAGTTGTTACGTTTCATGAAGAATTGCAAGGAGGACTTGATTCCAATGGTCATTATCACCCCTGAGATGAATAGGATCTGGTTCAGTACCCACAAAATGACTTTTATGTTAGAAGTTGTCAACTCAACCTCAGCAATAAGCAAACTTGTATACTGAGCAAAGATATACAAGGAAATCTGATAGAACAGGAAGACACTAACATTTCCAATGGCAAGTAGTCCCTTGTCGAAAAAGAAAATGATCCCGAGAAATGAGAAAAAGACGCCAAATCCAGTTAATCCCAATCCAATCTCTGTTTCAGTGAAGAAAAAATTGTTCATTGATCTTATGAGCATCAACATCATCAATGTCAAAACCATGTTTCTGGTGAAGGTTCAAAACCAATGCAGTCTCAAACTCCAACAATTTTAGACACAAGATTGCCATAAGTAAATACATATTGCTTGGGCATCTTGGATGTAAAGCAAATAACAATGCAACTATGTAAAGCATTCAACGAGAAAATGAGCTAAAACTAGAGAATTACTCATATCTATGCCCTAGATAGTATTTTTCTTACAGAGTTTTGGATGGTAGTTTCCAAAGGCATTGAAGCAGTCTATAACTTCAGCTTAAGCATTAATGCAACTCTCCTACAGCTCTGCAACTTTCTATCATAATGTCACAAGAAAGCAGAATCCTGAACTATGTAATCACCAATAGCTTTACTAAGTTCGCTTATGTTTAACATGTAATCATCTTGTCTTCTTTCACTTTCTTTTAATAAAACCAAAATCAAAACGGTGTAACACCACCCAACTTCCCATTACAAGGTCAACATTCTTGAAGATTTTGTTAGTGACCATAGAGAAATGGAATCAGGACTTGTTTTCATTATTAAAAATTAAAGTTTGAGGATATCCCCCCAGGCACTGGATATATGAATGATAAGAGCAATGTCTAAACTAATCTATGTGATAAAGGTGGGAGAATGAACTTAAACAACCCTATAAATTGAAAGAAAATAAAATCAATTATGTTGACTTAAGGCTGCACTCTCAAATACATTGGTTTTCTGGGTTCAGATGGTTCATAAGAGGACTTCACCATGTCTCAGGTCAAGCAATTACAGCATGCATCTCCAGTACCCAATATGAAAGAGCCAGCACCAGCTTCCGCTCATAACATGATTAATTTCAAACATCATTTTCTACCACTTTACAGTAAGTATACACTACACATATGTTAGAGCTCTGTCATTCATTACAATAATACAAAGCCACAGAAAGTGGTTCGGGTCCGAAAATGCAAGTGCTCTTTTCTACTTACTGAGTTACTTCTATCCACTTCGTTATCAAATGTAGCAAGCGTAATATTCTAAACTGCCAAATAATAACGCACAACAGTTCATAAGTTCATGTCAACTCAAACTTAAACATAATTCATAAACCCTAAACAACTAAACCAAAATATCTTAAGACTATATGATCATAAATTGGAAGGAAAACCGGAAAAGAAAAGGTAAATAAAAGTAAGTGATTAAAAACTCACTTTTCCAGTCGTTCATCTCTAGGCCAGCCATGATGCTTACGCAGATACAAAACTCTCCAACTTCCAAAAATGATCCTCAAAAACTGAATCACAAGAAAGATACATCCAATTCAATCAAATTAATCAAAAACCAAAACACGACTTAACTCCACTAAATCAACCAAAAAAAAAATGGTAACGCTTCGGTCCTTAAATCTCAACTGGTATAGGTCAGCCAATCAATATAGGGTCTTAATGGCCCAAATTCAGCATAATTAAGATCCGAAAAACTTCAACCTTCTTTACTCGAATCAACGACCTACTAAGCATATCAAATGAAAGCAGATACCGATTTGAGAAACAATTTGACATGCTATTCCAAAGCAAAACAGCGGATACACATATACAATTGAATGCAATCAATTCCAAATTTGCATAAAAAGGAAAAAGATAGACCTGTTATAGAGAGCAAAGAGCAAGAGAGAAGCTCGAGCAGAGGGGAGAGATATGGCTATGACTGATTAGTGTGCAAAATTGGGGAAGAAATCGATTTTGCATCAGGTTTTGTTTTTGAAGTTTAGGCTAATAGCAATTATGGTCCCTGTACTTCTGGATTTTAGACAACTTGAGCACTTGGTAGTTAATTTTTATTTTATCCTTATAATTTACGAAATTATTCTTTTTTAATTTTGGTTTGTACTCCATTTTTTCATGGAGGCATATATTGTAATTACTCACGTTCATTTGAATCAATGTTCTAAAAGGTTTGATAAGGTAAGTGTTGTGGTTTAAGACTTGTATCTCACGTCACGTTAAATCTATGACACGTCAAGATCAGATATAAGATTTTCGTAAGTTGTAACATGGTATTTGAAAAAATATATATAATCTTTTTAGTGTCTTGCTTTTTAGATAACCTAATTAAAATCGTTTGATATCATTGACTTATTGAGTAATAATTAAAAAAACATATATATATATATATATATATATATA